CCCCCCCCCCCCCCTTCCCCAGTTCATTGCTGCATTCTCATTCCTCGCGCGTTGGGGTTCAGAACGTGACTCGCCACTGTGTGGCACAGAGGCTGCCAACATCTCAGTGCCAAAATATTCTTCCGCTGTGCGGTCGAACTCATTTGCTAACATGATGGAGATAATAAAACGCTAGTCCGTGTTGTGGTAGTGGAACGGGGGTAGACACTGCGTTTTGAAGGCTTGGGCACGTCTGACTTAACATGTTCAGCCTCTGAAGAAAGAACAGCAAACAAGAATTCTAGAGAGTCTTTTTCTTTTGAAACAAATGTCTTTAGTAGGGATTTTTAAGAGCTGTTTGTCAAAACCCATAGTTCAATGGTATTCCATGCGCTTACGAAGATAAAAGTACGTGCTTTAAGCCATATGAATATTAATGTTCTCGAAGCGTTTTTCAACGAAATGAAGCAGTTAATAGAGTCCTGGAATTGCAAGTTCCGTGAATGTAGCTAATGAACAATGGGATGAGAACAATGCACATATAAAAGTAATGAATGTGTTTTTCTTCGTCTATCAGAATCTCAAGCCGGAAGAAACAAATCGTTAATACAACTTTCACCAGCGTGTTCCAGTATAATTATTTGACTTTTAAATGTATAAACGATACAGAAGGTCCACTGTTGTAGTTGAATTTACAAATCAAAAATAAAATTCGCGAGTCGTTAGATTGTATTAGCCCCAGACATATTATAATTACCGTGATGATATCCAACGCCTTTTAAGAGTTCGTACTACGTTTTCTGGAGAGAAAAAAAAGAGTGCAGTACACATTTTCTAAATCCATTATTTGCGATTTTAGACTAATCACTGGCCACGATGTTCATTTACTGATAAATCGAATACGTAATTGCATATGAAATAGTTTTCAAATCACGTCTGTCAGAAATCAACAGAGTTAGCAAGAGTGTGTTACATCTACTTAAGGCTTAGCTAGGCTATCAACGAAATTAGTAACAACCGAATTAAGCTTCTGACATTGACCAATGTGTTTAATACGTTGAACAGCTCTTCACGCTAGAAAAAGATTGCTTCGTGTTGCGACCTCGTACACCTCAGAGGTCGTGATGTTCATTCATTATTGATGCAAATCTATTGTTCCAAATGTATCTCGCCTCTTCTTCTGCTATTGTTTAAGCTGGAATAAACTTCATTTACTAGCGAATAACTTAAATTTGAACCCTGGAAAGACTATGAGTGAAATTAATTACGGAACTCATTTCAGGTTTTATACATATATAGTCCATCGTTCCAAAGCCAATCCACACTGTACAGAGCCATTAATTACGTTTTCTTGTTTTCAGTCAAACGCTCTCCGTAACAGCAAATGCATGAGAAGTTCCACAGCTTACTTAGGTCTACAATATTTAATATATGTTTTTATGTACGATGAGTCGCTTTGATGAAATCGATATTTTTCAATTTTAGCTTCAGTTAAGCTAAGCAAACATATATATTTGTCCGGAACGAACAGAAATTAACAAATATGTGGCCTAAATGTAAATACAGAACTAACAATTTCCAGTTGCAAAGGACTAAGCAACCAACAGAAGACAAAATCACAGATTTTCCGTAAAGCCTTGTTTATGAGTTGTCAAATTAATATTTTATCATAACTTGACTTAAAATAATAATACGAAAGAGGATATCTTACAGGTATTTAAGAGTTGGCCTGTAACAAACATAAATAAAACTAGATATATGAACACGACACTATAAGAAAATCGGTAACAAAATCTTAATGTAACATTGTATGATAAATAATTTGAGATTATTTAAATATGTCAGCACCTGATAACAACTCTGACCAATATAAATGAGATCCATGAAGAAAATGGGAGAAAGAAACATTCTGGAAATGCAAAAATGTAAAAAAATTAAAATTAACAAACCGCAGACAAATGACATGAAGATCAGTTGTGAATTACGTTGTGGTTACAAGTGGTGAAGCACAATGTTCTGACATTCACTTCTAAGTCCAGGAAGGTCACTTCGAATAAAGTTCCAGACACAATTTTAATTTGGTTTAAAATAAAGCAATAAAATAACAGCGGAAGTCTTGCTGACATCCGGTTCGGAATAGCCTATTTTATCGCCTCTCTTCCGGTCTCTGAACCTGAAGATTAAAATATACAAAACTGTAGATCTACTTCTTGCTTTGTACGGGTCTCTTACCCTTGGTCTAAGAACAGAGATTGAGGGCTTTTGAGAACAAGTCCTGAGAAGAGTATTTGGGACTAACAGGACACAACAGAAGGATGCGGAAATTTAAATAATAAGTACGTGAGATCTGAGATTCTCACAGTAGTGAGAATGTAATTATATTCTTCTGGGTTATGACGTCATGTAGACTCCTACGTAGATGCCTCCACCATCAACCCTGAACATGTAGACACTATGCTTCTTGGAAACGCTGGAGTCTTTCGACGAGT